CGACCCCCCAGCCGCTGATGGAGGTGAGTGGGGGAGGCTGGGAACCGGGCACGGGGGAGTGAGCCAGTTCCTGCAGCATAGATCGGAGCCGTGAGGGGGGAGGACTCTCGAGCCAGCCCCGTGGCCAGTGCTCTGTCTGTGAGCCAGGCCTTGCTGCCCTCCCCCCGGGCTGGCAGGACACAGGATCCCTGCCCTGCCCCTTGCGGCCCCGGCTCGAAGGGATACGGAGGGGTCCCCTCCCCGGCTCACAGTGCTTTGTCCCCGGACAGCAGGAACTGGAACCCGCCCCCCTCCTCCCGCGCATGTCCCAGGACATGATCGCCCTGCGGCTGGCCCAGGAGAAGGCGCTCAAACGGCAGCTGGAGGAGGAGCAGAAGCTGAAGCAGCCGGCCAGCCAGCCACGCCCGGCCCATGTCCTGGCACCACTGCCCGCCGAGGAGCCCATGGACTTCCGGGAGGAGAGGCCTGAGGTGGAAACACCCACCATCTTCATCAGCGTGCAGGAGGAAGAGGAGGGCTCCGGGGGAGACGGGTCCCTGTTGGACTCCAGCGCGGAGGGGCCCCCGCCGGCCAAGGTATGTTCTGGGCACGGACGGTCGCTTGGCAGCGTTTGTGTGTGGAGTCAGGGCTGTGCCCACCTAGGGCCCCATTAACCTCTCGCTGGCCTCAGCGCTTCCTATATGTGTGTTGTGGCCCCCAAGGGCCCCTTAGATACGGAGGGCTCTGCTGGCCACCAGGGGGCGCTCCCCAAACTGTAATCTTGGCCCCCATCGTGGCTCCCTTGCTCAGCCCCTGGGGGTCACTGACCTCGGCTGGAGCCCTGGGAGGCAGGGTGCGGCCTCAGGGCTGCTTGTTGGCCAAAGGATAGAGCCGAGTGTCTGCCTTTGCGCCCCAGGATTAGTGAGGGGCAGTGGAGGTGATCCTGGGGGGTGGCAGGTAAAGCTACACCCTCCCCAGGGCCCTGTCCGGCTGCAGGGTTGGGGGGCCTCCATTGCTGAAGCCTCTTGTCTGTCCTGTTTCTCTTCCCCACACCAGGAGCCGAAGAGCAAGGAGGCGGGAGCCGGTAGCGCCGCGGACGAAGAGGCCGAGAGCAAGCCAGAGAACCTCCCACCGGCTGAGCCAGCGCCCAGCAGCACCCAGCCCAGCGGGCCCCAGCCGCCCAGCCAGCCGGAGGAGCAGCCAGAGGCCGGAGCGGGGCAGGAGCAGAAGCAGAAAGCGGAGAGCTGATGGGGCAGTGCTGGCCTGCGGCAGAGGCCTACAGGGCAAAGAGACTCGGGGGGGATGAGCAGACTGCACAGCTAATGACCTGGAGCTTGACTAAATAAACAGTCGCTGTTCTGGTGCCCTTCCACCTGCCTGTCTGCATGGGGCGCATCCCTCCCTCTGGCCCGGTTCATCTCTGTGACCTTCCAGGGAAATCTGTCCCCCATCCCCAGGGAGAAAGGGAGCCAGGGGCAGGA